GTGCATTAGTCCATAGTTAGTAGGAATCTGGAGGCACGGACGGGGGGATGGAGGGGAGGATCAAGATGAGCGATCAACTTGCCAGGGTCCTTTTTGTCTTCTTCCCAATCTTTTCTCGGGGGTTCCTTTTGTCTTTACCCCCTCAGGGCGGGGGAGGGTATGGGGGTCGGGGTTTCCTCTTCAAGCTTTCTCCTTTCTTCCTACAGCTTAGACAAAGCTGCTCACTTTTGTCATAGCTCTGCCTCTTTATCTTCCTCTCCACCGAGACACGAGTTTCCTTCTCAGTCAACTCTGTATACCCAGCAGGGCAGCCCGACGTTCCTTTGACTCTAGTAACACGAGGCAGGCGAGGCTCTCCTTGCTTCCTGCTCTGAATTCCCAGCAGACGGATTTCCTCCCCGGGATGACCATTCGTCGCCCTAGTCTGGTTGATTTTTCCTGCCTTGGTTTTGCTGATAACAATTGTAGGCAAGTTTTTGGATGTGACTCAATGTCAGGCATCTGCTCCGGAAGGGGGGTGTTCGTCCAGTACAACCGCCGCCTTTGCTATGGTGATACCCACTTCGAATTGATGAACACAGGCACAACTCCCCTTAGCTGCATTATAACCTCGATTTCATCTCTCCGCCACTCCCCACTGCTCCCTTCTTTCCCCTGGGTCATTTTTTCGGCCTTTTCTCAGGTCCTGCCGATCCTGCCCGCGTCTCACCCCAGTTACCTCATGACTCTGCCGTTCATTACCCCCTTCCCTCCGTTTTCTTTGATCCTTTGTAGATTTTGGAAAGACTGTCCTTTTCTTCCCCCCCCACTCAAATACAAGAATCCCCCCCGTCCCTCTTTTCTTCATTTCATTTTTACTTTGTTTTTTTTATTTCCCCTCGGCGGCTCTTTTGTGACCCGACTTAATCACGACCAAAGACAATTTTCACACTCCATATGACCGGCTCCTTTATGGCCCAGCTCAACCAAGTCCAATGCAATTCTCACGATCCATCTGACCAAGCACCTTTATGGCCCAATTCAGTTAAGTCCAATGCAATTCTCACAATCCGTCTGACCAGGCACCTTTATGGCCCGATTCAGCTAAGTCCAATGCAATTCTTACAATCCATCTGGCTAGGCACCTTTATGGCACAACTCAACCAAGTCCAATGCAATTTTCTTGTCCATCTTTTCCTGGGCCTTTTACTTCTTTGCACGCTTTGTCCTTAGGTAGATGGCACACCTTCCCCCCACTCAATCGCGTTACAGGTTCTCACTTGGAGGCACGCAAACCTTGCCTGCCGACTAAGCGGATGCCGGCCCATCAGCAAGAGGAAGGGTGATCAGTCCTTCCCTTGTTGATAACTCACCTCATCCCCTACCCTAGTCCGGCGGCCACCAACTCGGAGATAGGCATCATCATTGAGGTGCTTCCTCGCAGCCGTGAGACAGGTCTAGTCCCTATCTTCCAGGACCCCATCCTGCCCGAGAGTGGCTCCCTCGCGAATCGTTCCTCCCAAAGTGGTATGTTTTGCGAATCCGGCCTCATCCAATCCAAGAGAGTTGAGGCTTTCAATTAGTCCGCGAGTGCAGTTACGAAGACCTCGCAATTAGTTCCGAAACGGTTGTAATGCTCCGGCAGGGCAGTGTCAATGCCCCGTGGTGGCCGCAGACTCTACCCGGTACTCCGCCATGCCCCTCCCCTTGGACAGTGCCACCCAACTTAATGCGAGCAGCCGAGGTCCGATCCGAATGGCCATGGCACCCCTCTATGACATGGCGCGTGGTTGGAGAGGACAAAATAGACTAGATGAGAATGAGTTTCTTGCCCATTTGACTCTCTCGCCCTTTGACGTTTAGGCATTCAACAGGAGGCGCAGTTTGAACTCCCCGACTAGAGATCATTGTCAGGGTCAGTTCTGGACGTCCCGCACCGATCCAAGTGGTAGATGCCTTAGTCCTTTAACCCTCATCCTCTTAAAGGAGGAGCAGGTCGCGCTGAGACTTTTTCCCTCAAAGGGATAGAGGTCTTGGGGTCGCGGTGCGTGCACCGGTATCCCCCTCTCGTTGAGGCCAAAGACTAGAAGAAAAAGGAAATCCATTTCAATGCCATTTCCAAATCCATTTCAAGTTGCCTAGGGTCCCCTGTTTATGCAATGCAATTTCCAATACTCAATCCGATTCCAATGCTTAGTCTCATTCCGATGCTCAATCTCAGTCCAATGCTTGATGCAATTATCTCTTCCAAGGCTGAGTCCAGTGTCCTTTCCAGGGCTGAGTCCAATATCCTTTCCAAGGCTGGGTCCAATATCTTTTCCAAGGCTCCGTCTTTCCAATGTCCTTTTCCAAGGCTCAGCTCTTTTAATATCATGCGTCTCAAGCAGCCATGCAAGGGGACCCCAGAACCAATTCCAAAGAATGATCCTTGTCAGGGGGCATTCCGAACATCCTGGTTAGGATCGTTCTTCTTTTCCAATCTCGAGCTTTGAAAAGCCTGGTTAGGGCCATTCCTATTTCCATTCCATACTCATACTTGAATAGCTTGGTCAGGGTCATTCCCTATTTCCATTTCCTTCTCAATACAAGCGCCCGAAGGGGTGGGCTGAGGGAGGCTCGGATCCGATTGTCAGTTGGGGGGGGGGTAGGTGGTGACCATTAGTTTTAGCGTGCTATGCATTTTCTTGCTCCACTTTTCTTTATCTTTCTCATATATCCGACTTAGTGTCTAGCTCGCGGCGGGATTCACCCAGCCTTTAGCAATGCTAGCCCGCCCGGTCGTTCAATCATAGCTGCAGGTCTCATGCATATTGATGTTGAGGACTGGACTCCGTCGGATTATGCTCCTAGGGGAAAACATTGTCGTGCCGTTCTACCCGTAGGTTCCCTAACCTCTCTTAACAAGACACCATCGTCATTCACACATGTGACCGTACATTCTGAGAGACTCATTGTGTCTGTAGCCAGACCCAAGTCCTTCCAATCCAACTAGTATCACAATTTGTTGAGAAGACAAAAACTGAATTACAGATTGTTTAAATAGCAAAGAGAGAGCCTCCTTATGTTCGAATCCCCAATCACACTCTCCTTCGTCTTTGCCAAACTAAAAAAAAGTAGCTGATACTAAAAAACTTGTCTCTCCCTGCATCTCCCAGCTTGCCCTCATGTCTTTTAGCAAGTTTCAGGTCAGCAGGCATTGTTTCACACAAAGTCCCACATCCTTGCCTTGACCAACTCTGTTTCTAGGAAGCCACCTAACAAAATACCACCCCCGCCTTTCTCCCTGATTGGTTTGCCGAGTCCCAGCGCCCCTATTTTACATCCAACCGTGCCATCCAACCCCAGTTTGCCAACCCTTAATTCCCAGTATCTCGATCCGTTCTTTGGCGCTTACCGCCCCTGCCCTCCTCTGTCTTTGGTGGCGGCGCCATCCCCAGCCCGTAGGTCCGTATCTCGTCCAATGTTGCCTTCATATCATGTAATGTTTTTTCTGAGAAAAAGTCTATTGGCGTGACCCTCTCCCCAGCCGCCATGAGGCTACGGGCTATAATAATCCAGTCATGTCTGAAAGTTCTGGCCCACACCTCGAACCAATGATTGGGTGTGGGTCCGAATACCTCCTCCCAATCATGGACCTCCTCTGAGGCCCTGCTTGTTGATGCCTGTCCTTCCGGCCTGGGCCTTGAGACCCTATCCATCTCGTCATCGCTACTTACAATTACAATCTCCGAAATGTCCTCCCCTGTCTCCCTGTCATCTTCTGTGGATCCCTTAGCATCTTTCCGGCGTCCCTGCCCAGGTTCTTCCTTGTGCTGGTCCTCTGTCCCTTTTTCTTCCCTCCTTTCCTCCCGTTCTTGCTCACTTTCATCCTCTGGCCAGGCTGGGAGCACATCGCCTTCTTTTGTAGGGGAGGGTCTACAGGCTCGCATCTTCCTTTTTCCCGTCCTCACAGGGGGCCGGGGTTGCAGTCCTATCACGAGCACCGGT